GCACAAAGCGGGCTATGTCATCCGCACGATCGCCTACACCGTATTTGTCTATCTTCAGTTGATACTCACTGGTCATTCTGTAGGTGTCGCACAGTGCCACATCCAGTGCTTGTGCTGTGTTCTAGATGGCGATTCCATCCGGCTTAATATACCTTGATACCACTGGGATGCCGGTTTCCAGGTTGATTTTGGCGTCTTTGCGACGAAGGGTGTTGGTTAGTTACTTCACGATACTGTGTTACAGCAAGCGTCGTGGGTCACTGCAAAAGGCTGCAGACTTGAAAAAGTGTTTCGTTTTGTCCGCAAGCGCCCTGGCAGTGAAGATCCGCTGGATTTGAGGATGGTCGTCCCATGAGTATCGGGATATTGCTGACAATGCACCTGCTCGAACTTGAATTCCTCCTATGTAGAGTCTGGGGTAACTTCTCTCAGGGTTTCTTATCCAGTTGTGAGACCTGTGAGTCGTAATTACACCATAAATCAAGTATCCATCCACATATTGTAGTAGTGAGTCCTTCCATATTTCCTTCTTGTCATTTTATCAAAGAAGACTTGATTCCCAATGATCACTGGTTTCATAGCAAGGCGCTGCATTGCCGCCGCTGAAGTTTCCCATATTGCCCAGCTGATAATTGAATGGGAGAGTGAAAGGTGGCGTTCTAGACGGTTCTTCCCAAGCTAGAAACGAACGGAACCCCTAGGCCAAAATTCTCAATTGAGGCGTGAAAGAAAGTGATGCTGGTGTCTTTAGGGAGTCTCAGCCAATTTCGTATACTTGCCCGGACCAGTCCATCCATTGGTTTGAGGGTTTGTTGTTAGATCACCGCCAGTGAGAGGCAATGTGTATAACTTGGTAACAGATAGGTGCGCAAAATGTATATGCGCTGATGTGGCTTGAGATGTTTCCTGCAGCTGTGCTTTGAGCTGGTCTGACATCTTCGGTAGGCGTTTACCCTTCCAATCAATGGCAGTCTAAATAATCGGAATTCCTCGGGTTGCTGGATCGAGGGAATCTGGAGAGCGCCGCATGGGAGTTACGGGGTGTTCAAAATAGGTAAATGTTTTCTTTTCCTGTCGACGATTTCATGAGTTTTATCGAGATTACATCTCGATTTCCATTCACATAACGAGTACTTCAAAACGATCACCTGCGATCAGTCACTAATCTTCGTGGCAAACGTTGACGGTCATGACTACGTGACTTGGAGGAGTATAGTTTTGGCTAGCACCCCCAACGATCCCGGGTTTAATGCCTGCTATCTGTACATGATGAGAACAAATATCATCGAAACGCGTCGTGGAGTGCAGTGTTCTCAGTTGGGCCACACCCTATGCCCATCCACATTGTCAAAAATATTTTTATCTTAGGTGCGTTGTGTCATTCGCTATCTGACTCCTTCAGTAGTGGGGAAAGTTTTCTCCACTACACCTGTGATTAATCCGCGAATATTTTGCATTTAGTCACAGTAACGAAACATAGCAGCATCTACGAATCATCACGGAATAACTGTACCTTTGTTAGAATCAACCAGACAACCACCACACATCTAGGAAAGTGCTAGATGGCCTATCCGTCTTATTGGGACTCGTCAGTAGCGCTCGCCCGCCGACTTCTGCCGGATTCGAACCCGTGACCATATTCTTGCGAGCCAGCGACTTATGTCACTGAGCCATTGGTGACGTTAGTGGACCGCCAAAACTGAGGTCTAACTGCGATATAGCGCAGCTCATCCTCCGCTTCATGCATCTGTGAGCGTTCACAGGGCAGGGCTGGCACCCCGAGCTATGACTTCCTTTGAAGGCCGACTGCAATCGAGGTAGCATGTAAGCTGCTGTGGCGATTATTGATTATTAGTGGGTAGTAAGGTGTTTGTTATGTTTTGGAGAAGATTCGTCGCAGCTGAACTCAGCCATCCAGCCACTACACATCCAAGAAAGCCTTAGACATCCGTTTCTTCCTCTTGGGACTCCTTAGTAGCACGCACACGCCGACTCCTGTCGGCAGTTAGATATTAGTTGTGACGGTCTGTCGCCATCACCCATGGCTTAGTGGCAAAAGTCGCTGACTAGTAAGAGTATGGTCGTGGGTTTTAATCCACTAGGATTCGACGAGTGAGCGCTACTTACGAGTCCCAATAGGACAAAATGGCCGTCTAGCACTTTCCTGGATGTGTGGCGGCTGTCTGCCTGAGTCTAGCTGCGATGAATCTTCTCCAAAACACAGCAAACCCCCTACTACTCACTAGCTGGCCCGTAGCCTAAAGGTAGCGTGCTTGTCTTGCAATCTGACGGCGCGGGTTCGAACCTGCGTAAGGGACCTGGTGATCATCGCTGTATCCTTAGCCCACCTACAAATGGTGGTGATTGCGCGGCAGCGAATCCTCGGTACTGCGTACCGGCGTACTGCTGCTGCATTTCTTGACCACCGATTTTCAGCCCTGGTTGTGTAAATAACAGTTCTAACGTACGAACAAATGAATGGTGCTCCCACTTTATCTTCCAGTTTATGTAAAATGGTGGCAGCTTATTTATTTGCTGGTCAGCATGTTTCAAAGTGTATGTGGATGAAAGCCAGTTGCTACGGTCTGACTCGGCAAACCGAACACTAAGATTTACGGAGCCAAACAATTCCACACTCGGCATTTGTATGAACTAAGTGACGCTGCCTTTAGGCTCATTTGTATTTCATATTCTGATTGTGAGCGCTTTATTCACGCTTAGCTGAATACGTTAGCCGGCTACTGCAGTGTGATTTCTAGTAACATGCTGCACACTAGCTCCAAACCTCCCTGTCCATATCCTCGGATGATATGCATAGTGTCGTGTCACATAATACAATTAAACTCGGAGAAATTGTGTACGGAATAATTGTCTCCGAATCGATCGATATACCTCTTCGATAGAAACCAACTAAGACGGTTATTGTATGATTGTTGACTACTATCTAGTCAATACTAAACTACTTACCGCTCATCGGAAACATCACGCAAGCAGTCAATAAGAACAATTTGCACAGTACTCAAGTTCGAGTGTTTCAAAGGGACAGCTGTATTTTAGTGACAATATCCACTTTTTCACAGCGTATCCTAATACAAAATCCATGCCAGCTTCATAGAGAAACAGCACACACAAGTGGCTAGCTAGCAAACAGATGACTTTGCTTATGTTGCCAAAGCCACTACATCCTCCTTCGGATTCGACTGGTAATTAGTTTCATTCACTCACAAAAGTTTCACCTCGATATACCTAAACAAAACGCAATCATCGGGAATCTACCGGTGGGTTTCTGTCAGTGCCAGTGTCAGATTGCCACTCGCCTCTTCGTCTCGATAATACGACCAATGCTAGAGTACGGCTCTCCCGCATATTTTCCCATCACGCTGGCCGAGGTAGAAAAGCTTGAGTGGGTGCAGCATGTAGCCACTAGGCTGATTCCCAACTTACGAGGTATGCCATGTGAAGACCGATGTAAGAAACTAGGGCTATACACCCTAGCTTATCGTCGGCTGAGGGTTGACCTAATCATGACGCACCGGATATTACATCTTAGTGAATACCCCATGTTGAGACAACTGCTTCATCTGCGCACACCAAGTAGCACGCAAGGACTTCGGTACAAAGTTATCGTACCGCAGTTGAAGCGGGTAGCTCACCAACTCTGTTTCGAACGTAGAGTGGTGAATACCTGGAACAACCTGCCGCAGCCAATAATAGAGGCGAACTCAGTGGCCGAATTTAAGAAGGTTCTAGACAAACACTGCAGAGGCAAAATATAGAGAGCGGAACGATAATTATTACGTTAATGTGCAAGAGCGACAATTGATGCAGCTACACAGAGTATGCTCTACTCGCTGCTTCTAATCAGTATCAGTATCAGTGCGGGTAGAATCATGGTAAACTGAGTGCTTGTGTTATCAGTTGCTGTGTGGTATTGGCGCTCGTCTGCAAAATTTCCAACTATTCCTCACTGTGTTCATGGAACTGTGAACATTTTTCCCGTCGGAGGATCACTTATTGATTGCATGGATTTTGTGCGCGGCTGTTGGTGGATGATTTAATCGAGAAACACATCCTAATCTGTGCGCAAACGTTTCCAAAATGTTCGTCTTCCTACGCTTGTACACATATCCTCGTCGCCACTTTAATGACTGATATACAACTCTAGCAAGCTTGCCAGTTATGACCCGGCGTCGTAGAAAGAGATCTTTGTCATCTTTATCCTTTGCCAGTCTGTTTTAGTTATTTCCGGGAAACAACAACAAAGAACTTAGCGATTTCTATGATACTGTTTCGTTACCGTTCGAGGGGATATCGTCAGCTCATTGCTTTGACTGTTAGTCGTACTTGCCGATGGTAAAGAAACTGGCAAGCTTGGGCGGCTGAAACAACATATGGACAGACAAAACAAGCAACTAGTAATGTGCTCATTGAAACTCTTCCAACTATGGACAAACAAATTAGCCAAGCGTCCACAATGAAGGACAACGTCGGTTGATGTTGGAGCTCGTCGAGGGCTCCATTACGTGACCAAGCGCAATTGCATCCTCTTTTTATTAATTAAAATTTGGCCACTACCACTCTGCAAATGAAAAACGCTACCGATCTAGCCACAATTTCTTCTATCTGCCGAGGCTTATCAGAACGGCATCTGTTAAAGTCCAGTAGCGGAACTGCTCGTTGTAAATGCTCTTTCGATTAATCTTAAGTATTTTGACCGCAATCTTTCCTTCGAATGAACTAGACTTCTATAATAATAGGACCATTTTTGGTGGCACTCAAACACGGCCTATAGAAGCCAAATGTATGCACCTGAAAACAATGAGTGACTTCAACAGGAGCAAATGTGAATACGCAACGCGTTAAATTCGCTTTGGAAATATATATTTCATCTGAACGATTGATCATGTCTGCGATACGATGGAAATTTCAACGTTTGTTGTAAAATGAAAGACGTTGTGTGTTGAAGAAAAGGGTCACTGGAAGTGTTGCTAACGCATGGATTATTCTTCGTTGCCTTCCGGTGCGACATTCGGACGCGTTGTAACCACAGAGCATGCTAAATTTGAAGATATCGGGTTCGCCGACTTGATTGCTTGATTAATTGCCTCCGGGAGTTGTCCAATCTGAAACTAGGATAGAAAGGTAAGAGCAGAGCATTAAACGGTTCCATTCGCATATAACAATTGGGCCAATAAATAGGACTGGAAGGGCTCTCGTGTCACCGGTTAACCCGTATGGGATTTGTAATTTAATGTTTGCTGAACACGAAACTTTCAATTTAACTGCTATGACAATGAGGATACAAGCCAGAACGGAAGGTGGAGTAGATGCAGGATGTATCTACGCAAAGGGACCAGGGTATGCGGAAATCTCACAACCATATCGCTCGTGTTTATGATGATCCGGTATGGCACTCCGTGCTAATGCGTTTTCCATCCTGCTGCGATAACGTCTAACGAAGCGCAGCGAATCGAAGTTATTACGAGGAACAACACGGTTAAAACTGCCACGAGGAATTCTGAAGATGATTTTGACACGCCTTCACATCATATACACTCTGTATTCTCATCACAACTACCAGAGCCAGTTGATTTGACTGTTAGGACGGGAGTGCCTGGCCAGGCTGATTTTAACTGCAATACCGGAGGCTACCAAGTCAGCAAGTGAATTCTTCGTTGAGGCGTTTGAACAGCCTTCAAATATTTCGGTATGCGGCACCGTACTTCTAACTCGTTGTACAGTGCGAACTTCTCAGACGCAGTCATAGAAAAATTACACACTATTTTCTTCCTGGTGTGATAACATTACTTTTTCAATTGCATTCTGTCGATTGACACGGAGTCGTACATGTTGACAGAACTGCCATAATAGGTTGATAAAATAACAGGGGATTGGCTCTGTTCGTGTGGTCACAACCCTAGTCACGACATCATAAATGTCAAACACCGACGGTTTCGCTCGAGTTTGGAATCACACATGGTAATACTGCGTGGATTGCTCTCCGTGCGTCGTTAAGTGCACAGCTTACGGCGCAATCGATAATCGGACGTCAAATTCGCACAAGCAACCAGCCGTTTGAAAAAGTGAAAAGACGCATAAAAATGGGCGAGGTATACGTGCAATCTCGCTAGGTTAGGTAGTTCGAGAAAGAAAAGAAAGGTTCCGGGATTGTAGACGGCAGCGTTCTGGTCGCGTTCCGGATGTGTGTGTATAAACAGAGTTAGTCAACGTGCGACGGACAACCTAAATCTCCTGGGTACAAATGAAAATATAACTTGGTAATACTTTACATATCGTACAGCCTGTAATGACGGGCTGTTTCAGCTGGTATGAAGCATATTGCTGCGATTGAAAGGCTGCCTATTCACATTCTAATTTCATGACCTGCACTTGTGCAAAATGGCTTGCGCATTCACTCAGGGATGTATGATTTCACATTATGTATTTCTGAAAACAAACTGTCACTAGATGAACGGTGCTCCAAATGGATGCTTTCATAATTCGTTTTGCCGGCAACTTGTGTCAAACACAAGGGTGACGAGAATGATGGATGAAAAATTAGGTACTTGTAAACAAACGATTGTCATGTTTACGATGGAGTGGTTAACTCTTTTACGTAATCGAATACATTGTCTCTTGTCTCACACGGAACTCTCACCAATGTTGCATTAAATCCAGTCTTATCCTATGTGAGGACCACAAGGAAGCTCAATCGCAGCCAGCTTGAATGGCGCTTTTTCGTTTGATTCAGTGCAGCCTTTGGCAAATGCTTCACAGTATTACTCCTACCAAGAGTTTACCGGTTCATTGTTCATAACTTATTTTACGACTATTGAAACATAAGCTGTTAGTTATGCGCGAACAAGGCGCAGGTATCTGGTTTCTTCAGCGTTACATTGACACTGGATGCAGACAAGAACTAGCTTACCAACGCAGTACGTACCTGTAATTGATTAATCGTTTTCTCCACCAGTAGTAACCTTTGAACAAACACCGCTTGATCGTTCCTGATCAGGCTCACCATCTCGTGGATTCCAGTTTGAAGCTATTTTGTAACAAAACATTGTCAATTGGGATTGTTTGATATGCAGGCAACCAGACAAGAAACACATCAGTTGTTGAGAAAGAGGGTGCGCGCGTGTGAAAAACAATCGAATGTGAAACGGAGGAGCAGCTATAACACGTAAACTCGATTGATTATATCGTTGCTCAAAGCAAGACCGGATCGCTTCTTGACTTAACACACTAACGTTAAACTAAACTTTTCCGCTCTATGAAGAAAACCTAACAGTAGTAAAACTCCGATCACCCGAAAACATCGAAGCGTTAACTACTAGTGAGCTGCGCTCTGAGTGTGTTCTTCAATAAGGCAAGTAGCTGTTAACCATAGTTTCCAATGCTGTTCTTGTTGCTTGTTAGAAAGAGCCCACACAAAGTTCACTTCATGCGAATTTATCACCAGTGAATTGTCAAGATTTAACATTTGCTTAACACACTATCAGATGAAGGAATTCCCGTAGTGTGCTTTACTTCGAAGTTAGATCAACTTGTGTGAATATTGTACGTACCTGAGGCTTCTGTATGTTTGCCATTTAGCTCACCTGTTTCACTCACTGCTGCAATCTAAAAATTACATGAGATTTATGTGCGAGTACTGCTGCTGCACATGTCACTGACAACTCCAAAGGTCGAGTCGATGATTTTTATCTTCGGCTTATCGAGTAATTCTTTGTGACCCAAATGCGACTTGCTATATCAATATAAGTAGTCTAAACGGGGAGAAAACCTGTTGTGAAGTGCCATGTTCAGAGCAACACTTGCCATCAATCTACTCAAAATTGATTCCCAGTAACCTTGTGCTCTAACTCTCACATGGGTTTACAAGTGATCGATACAGCTGTTTCACTCGCCTCGAAACGGTCAAGATTCTGCGACGCAGTGCGTCGTGTTTCATTGTTCCGATCACAAAGCTTGGAAACGATTAGGTAGACAGCAGTACACATTAACCTTCAGTTGCAGTCAAGCATTTTGCCCCTGATCCGTGGCGCACTAGCTTACAACGTCAGCTTGATAGGATAGCCTGCAGGGACCAATCAAGAGGGGCCGCGCCTATAATCACCCAAACGAGCGGCGTCTGTGCCTCGATTTCCCATAAAGAGCAAGAGTGGGAATCTCGTGTTCTAATTAGCTTCCCTGCTTTCATCCTAAATGTACCAGTACTCAACCAAGAGATGTCAGGTTGTATGATTTCGGACAAGAACTCTGGTTTTGCACATCGGTCAAGTTATCTCGGAACCGCAAAATATTGTGAACCATAGTTAGCAAACGGCGAACGCCAAAATCCATTCATTAGGAGGAAGCATAGTCAGGAGTGGGCCACAATACCCCACAATAGGCCCCAGGCAATGCCTCACGGAAAGATCCGGCTCCTCGTTGAAGAAACCTTGTCCGTATAGTTGAACCTCAGTCAACTGACAGGACCCGGAGCCTGCGCACGAAGAAGTGTCTGTCGAAATGGTTTCAATGCGAGACTGTTATGTTAACCGACGCAAAGTAGACTACGTGCACACACATGCCATCGGCACCTTTGCTCTGTGGACATTTGTTAAGATCGGGTCAGCGGATTAAGATGAACACGGTGTAAGATATTGCAGAACCATACCAATTCCCGGCTCCTCCGGTTCACTGAGGCTATTGCCGGAGATTAAACGATTCTAGTGCCTTCAAAGGCAATTAACAGTCAAACTAAGGCTGACCTGATTTTCGAGTCAAAATCTCCGTGTTTCTTCTTTTGTCCCTATGTAATTTTGCACAGGCAAACGTGTGTATGTAATTACGAGTTGTCGTTGTCGGTATTCAGCAGACGGTGCGAGATTTATGCAACTGCCGCACTGCATCCCCTCTCTGAATATCTTGATCAATATGTCCATGCCATTAGTGTCCCAACTTCGTCTGAACTAGCCACCTCAAGTCCGATTGGAGTAATAACCACCGGGGGCACGTTCACCCTCCACCGTTCCGAATTCTCAGAAGCATGTTGACAGGGGTGGCGATTAAAACATGATTAAAATCAACTGCATCCGGAAATTGAACCATACAGTTACTTCCAACGGATGCATAACATCGTGGAGCTTATAGGAGATGTATAACGTTTGCTACATCAACGGTGCTTTGAGCACCTTCATCTGCAGATATTAGTAGGGGAACACCACGTTTCACATTCCGGAGGTTGCTCACATGTCAGATTTTGTTAACACAAAACTTTTCCACTGAACACTACTGGTGTAATAATCTGTCCTCACGCACAGGCGTGAAGTGCGCTGTCCAATCCGATTTATGTCGAATGTGGAATTCCACAAGGATCAGTTCTGGGGCCGCGTCTCTTTCTCATGTTCATCAAAGAGCTTACGCGTTTGATTACTTCATGTTTCTTGCTGTGCGCTGAAGATATTAAGGTCTGTCAGACGATCGCAGACACAACAGATCAGGATGCACTACAGGGAGACCTGAACATAACGTATGTGTGGCCATTTCACAATCTGCGCCAGTTCAATTCAGGGAAGTGTAGGGTGGTTCACATTTGCCACCAGCCGAACATCACATAACAGTTTGGAGTTCATGTCCTGCAAGCAGTTACACAGGAGCGCGGTCTTGGGGTACTAGTCCCGGCTGATCTGGGCTGCTCAGAACAACCTTAGAAGGCATCAAAGGGCGGGCACCAACACGTTAGCATGCAGCGGAGGTCATTTGGGAAGGTTGATCCCTCTGTTTGTTCGCATTTGCTTAACACCTACGTGCTGCCTCATGTAAGATACACAATCCAGGTGTGGCAGCCCTGGCACAAACAATACCTTGCAGCGCTCGTGGGTCCGCAGCGACGAGCCACGAAGCACGTCAAAGCGGTGCTCAATTTTCCCTATCAACTTAGACTGAGGACCCTAAAATTATACAGTGACCAGTACCGGCGCCTACGTGGCGACCTAATTATGGCATGTCAGATTCTAAGGAACCCCAACCATGTCTGCCGTCACCTACTACAACTGAGCCACAACACGAATTAGAGGGGCCACCAGTTCAACTTAGCCACGCAATACAGTCGGTTAGAATGTCGACTGAACTTTTACTCTCTTCGTGTGTGTCAGCCTTGGAAGGCCCTCCCAAGTTACGTTGTTTCCGCCCCACTTTACCTTTGTTTATAAAACGCCTTGAACTTGCCCTAACCCACCTACACCACGAGGTATAATCCGTGTGTCTCTATAGACTATATAATGCGACGAAGGTTACACAACCAGTGGCTCTTTTTGTGTGCCTCCGTGTTAATACTGTAGTGAGTCCACCAAAACGATTGTCATTTTATCCCTTTATTTTCTATTCATCATGTTGTGGTTCTCTTTTTGACCACACTAAGGGACTTGCTAAACATCCGCCTTTTGCCCGTAATAAACCAGTGTTCTATTATTCCATTGGTACAGTGGTTACGATGCACTACATAGCTGTACACAGAACAGAGGGACAGTCGGTCACAATCCACTTTACGTCTATAATCATTAAGACATCGTCTAGCATACCGTGGGCACTCTGCGACAGTTTTTATGGATGGACGCAAAATTCCACGAAATGAAGACAACTCAATGACGTGAGGCAGTGGATCTTCATTTGTGACAACCTAGGTGTTGTGCCCAAACCTACTGATCTGACGCGGGTTATCCGTCAACTAAAATGCACCGAAATCCACCAATGAAGCAGTAGCTTCCCGTTATCTAGAGCTCGTCTCGAAAATCGATTTCATTCGATCCACATTCCTGTATTGCCCGTGGAGCGAGCGCAAACAGGAAAAGCGGTCTAGAAAACTACCGGGGTTCAGCCGTATTTAAAATTATTTTACTTTAAGGTTTCGCCGAGGCTACAGGAAACGATAAGCGAAAAGCAGCAACTCATGAACATGGATTTTGGCGTTACGTTAGCGCTACCATGTTCTTGGATAACGCCGTATCTCAGTCAACCGTGGGGCTGCCTATTTGACCGAGTTACAAACGAGGTAGCCGGAGGATGATGAAAGTTGTACCTTGTTTCTGTGATATATTGGCAGGTGAGTTGGAGTGTTGGTATGTTTCAATGCGATAACAGTCTGAGCTCTGACTCAAGGCGACGTTTACCGGGAAAACAGAGTCAAGCTACATATGTGACTTACAAACAGTTTATCAGTGGATCAGTCATAGTGCCGCTGGATATGACACAAACTACTTCTCCAATGTTCCGCCTAAGAAACGACTAGCGGCCGATCATTCACTTATCGACGCAAGCACATACCAAAAACACGAGCTATTCAACTCAGTGTTGATATCAGCTTAAGCTCCGTGCATTTAAACCAATGTATAAGTCATCCACATCAATCTTGCTGAACCCTCAAAATGCGAGTTCTCAAATACATAGCTATAACCCCAAAAGCTTTCATGCATTTACACCAATACACAGGAACTCTGCAGTAAGCTTGTCCAACATCGCCGATGTCAGATTGCACCCGACTTGGCTTATCTCCAGACAAAAGCGTAATGCTCGCGTTTCTCTTCTTTCCGCTTTCAGTGCGTAGATTCATTCGAATCGGATTTACTACACTGTACATTAAACCACCACACGTGGAATTCGTTTCTATGACTCACTATTCCAGCGAAACCAGGTGCTTTAAACGGCTCTGGTGTTTAAGTCTTTGCGGAGGATCTAACACACATCACGTACGTCATCCAATTCGATGTCTTCCTTTGATATCTCTTCGATGGAGAATCCGGCGAGCCAAACCACAAATACAGTCACATAAACATATTCACTCAACATGACTACTTACAGATAGACACAAACAACTAGATGCGTACATACACATATATTAGTGATTAAACTGTGATTTTTGTGCACTTATCGGTCAGACATTTTTATGTTAGCTTGAGTCTGCCTTTGCAGGCGTGGCTTGCACTGCCGAGAATGAAGTATTTATTTATTTATTTATAACTCTCACAACTATCGCTTTTG